CAAGCAACACAAGAGATGGTAGCCGGAAGAAAAAAAATATGAAATGTAATCAATCATCGTCAAGTTGACCAGTATTACTGTTGTTTGTGTCGAAGTCTTTTCACATTTTTCTTTTGATGTATAAAACTACTACTCAGCTAAACCTTATGTATGTATATATGTCTAGTAATATTGCCAATATCTAACAGTCATATTGGTATCACTATTGTTGATATTATGCTTTCATACTATTCAACATTTTTGTTCTTTAGTAACTTTCAGATTCACCTTGAAATCATTGATCAAAATCAACATCACTTAACTGTTTCTCTTTTATCAGGATGATGGTATGAAGGCAGCAGCTGTCTTGTCAACATGACTTGTTGTTGTTATTATTATTACTACCACTACAACTTTGTTCCATATTTGTATATACAAATGTATGTGTGTGCATAGTTCTTTATAGCATACTCGATTATGACAGGGGAGAAATGTTAATAATGTTTAATGTCAGTGGTTTGAATTGTTTATATGCATTGTGCATTTATCCTATTTGTTCTACTAGTTAGGAAGTTATTTTGTTAGTTAGTTGTTTTAACTGATCCATCAATCATACAAGTCAGCCGAATGAATTGCTTTCATGCTTCTCTGCTTCTCTTTGTGTACATTTGACTAGTTCCGGCTTTACAGACCGCTTGTCATGTCAAAATTTGCGCTGCTAGTGTGTCAGTTCAAGGTTTCAGTGATATATTACTGTTATTGGTACTACAACTACTGCTGCCATCATCAACACCACCACCACTATAACCATTAATGCAACTACAGTTACAAAGATAACCTCCACCCTGGATAAGTAAAACACAATCTCTCTAGACAATACCGACACAAGTTATTCATTCATTTATTCACAATACTGACTGTCAGTCCCGCATATTACTTTGATCTATGTATGTTATAAACCATACATTTATCAGGCATTTCCGTTGACCAAGGCAATAAGGGTGGTAGGACAAAATTATCATGATACTACTAAACTTACTGGTACTACAATTTATCAAGGTCAGTCATATATGTATATATGCACATATTATATATATATGCGTAATGCAAACAAACAAAATTGATGATGATCATGACGATGACGATGATGGATGAGTTCACTTAAGAAGGAGTAGGCGACTCAAAATGTCATGACATTATAACTTTTGTATCAAGTCGTTTCTTTTTTATGTTTTACCCAGTCATTAATTACCCGCAAAAAGATTAAAGTAACATGCGATAAATCTTTGTGCTTTTACGTCCATCTATACGTGAATGTTCGCGTCTGTTTTAGTGTATATATATGTATATATATATTTTAACAGTGAAAACCATATTTTCTGAAAATAACTGGCAAAATAATAAATTGACCTAAGAAATATATATATATAAGAGAGACAATACATTCCTTTGCATAGACATTCATCAATTCAATTATCCTTTCTAACCATTATATTCACAAGAGGAAATAACAGTCAAGAAGACAAATTTCCTCTTGTTTTGTTTTACATTATTCCGCCAATATACTCATTGTCAGTTGTGAAGGTTGAAAGTATCCAGTTGTTATTAGGCATCAAATTCCTTTGAAGTATTTCGAAAGGATAAAGATTTTAATCATTTCTCCCTACTTTTTCTTTCTTTTTCACTCAGATTGTGCTTAAATAGTTCACGGCATATTTATATGCGTATGTATGTGCACTTCCGTTAAAGATTGAAAATGAGGGAATATAAACAACTGATTAGTGAGGATGTGATCTAATGCCGAAGTAATGTTAGAATGATTTTTTGACCCTGAAGACTGATAAATGATTTTCTCATGTTTATTACTTCTTAATTTTGTATTGTGGTTATAAATGCGGCTAAACTCGGTTATGTCAACGAATAAAGTTATCCGCACGCACACATACATACACACACACACACACACAATTAACCAAAACTGATCAGATTCATTGCAATTCGATCTTATTTGTTTGGCTGCAGTAGGTTAATCTTTATTACAACTTATGCTTTGATAGGACTGCAGATATTATTATATAAGTTGTACAATATAAAAACGCCTTAGTATCTTTACGACAGAGAAAAGAGGCAATAAATTTCCTACAAACTGATAATGCATTTACTTACCTACGGTATTGCTTCAATAAATATAAACCCTAACCACACTAATGAACTAGTTCAATTAGTGATCATGAGATAAGCATATGTCGTATGAACTTGATGCCTCTATAAGACATAAATATTAAAACGTAGAAATAGGGGAAGAAACATCTGATAAAGACTGAAGTGCACTCTTCCAATTCACTTCCTCAAGTGTTATTAACTAAATCGGAGTGTTTGAATTCTCTCAGCAGTACTGTTATGACTCGTCATGTTATGGGCACTATTCTAAATACTTTAACAAAATCTGTGCAACAAAGATCGATATCATTTCTAGTTTGGTAGTTAATATTTGCAGTGATATACATCACTCTGTTAACACTTGGGTATCCTAGGCCATTCAGTAGAGAGTTAGACTGTTGGTCTGGAAGCTCCTGGGTTCAAAACCTAGACTTCCATTCCACCTTCGAACACTACAACCCAAGGGTATCCCATAGAGACTCACCATAAAGTGATATTTGTTTTAACGTCAATCACTTAGACACTTAATTTGGCAACTGCTAGATCAGTTTTTCACCTTCACATCTTGGAAATTCTTCACATTCAGCAATACGATATAATAGGTTGTTCCTAATCGAATCTCCAGGATGAATACTGATCTGTAATTGATAACACTGAAAGCTTAATCATCAGCCCAGTTAGCTTAAGATAACTTGGAATATATGCTGCGTTAATTTATGAAGCTGGAACAGGTTACATTGACAATTTAGAAAGTTATCTAGCAATAGTGATGATAAGAGTGTCATTAAAATGTCTATTCCACGGGTTACCAGCTGAATGGATATTTTCAATACAAAATGATTCCTTTTGACTGAATGTTTGAACTTCCAAATAAGAAGTCATCCTAAAACGTACAAATTTATAGATTTTCAGATTTTATAACATCAGTAATCGGATACAAACATTTTTTGTCCTTCACGTTCTAAGTGGAACATAGGGCTTCAAGCTAGTGGCTTGAAGTTTCTGTAGCAGTGTTTATTTTACAGGATGGGGTTGCTAGCCTCATGCCCAACCTTTCCTCTTTACCAGCATTATTTCTGGCTCAGTGAGGTAAAGGAGTGCGTTGGCGGCCGGGGATCGAACCCCGGACCATGTGCATGGTTGGCGAGCGTCCTAACCGCTATGCCACCGACACATACGAACGATTGAAGAGAATGAAAACAAGCATAGGATTCAGCGAATAGTAGTGCTTTTGATTCTTTAAGAAGCCCGTCCAAAATTAAGCTCTGACTGCTAGATTTTTTTAAACAATAATAAACGCTGTTCCTAGAAGGCACAAGAAAGGTTTGAACCTGGCTAGGTGTTACAGTGTTTTGTTAACTGAATTAACAAAGCTGAACACTTTGTTGGTTTTTAAATCGTGTAAAAAGTAGACAGAATTATTTTTCATCCAATTAAAATAGTCGAAATAATATATTTTCCGAACATTATTCTAAACCATAGTCCCAATGCTTATTCAAGTAAGTGCAGAAAGTTGTAGCTCTTATATAAATACTTACTAGGTGAATTGTATTTAGCTCGAATATGTTTATCACTATTGTTCGCAGCTAAATATTAATTTCGACTATAATATTATTAACATCTTTCGCTTATAACGTGCAGAGTAGTTATTACTTCACTTAACTGTACTGAGTAATATACGTGCACTGTTTCCATTTCACTAAATGATATAAGACTGACATATTTTTTGCCTTACCCAGAAAAATTTCCAGTTAATTTTAGCGTCAGTTGTAAAGTTACCTATAACTGGCTAGCCGAATAAGGATGAAAATGCAAACTGCTCATGTTTCAAAGAATTAAAACATGTTTTTTTTCACTTTCACCCCAGTAATCAAAACCCAGATGATACTATTGTAAAAGTCTGTAAATGAAAGCATTAGTTTACAATTCATATCAAAAGATATTCCTAAAGCATGAGGTCCTACTAACTTTTCGTATTTCCTTCCTAAATTGGGAAGTCGGGGTGAATTTCAGGCTCAAGGACAACTTATGGAAATGTTTTTCTGCATCAAAACAACCCGGTAGTATTTACTAACAATTATAGACTAATTTTACTTACCAAAATTACTTGTTTTGGTGTTCGCTACCATAGAATCCGAGATTGATATTTGGTCCTGTTTTAACTCATCACTAGATGCATCTGTCCCCCTCCCAGTGAAAATGTACCCAGCTGATGACATGACTGTTTAAATTGAAATCAGCAACTTCTCCCACATAAAAACTCTTACCTAAATATAGCAATATCATATCAGAGAGCACTACGAATATGAGGCAAATACTCAAAACAGAAAAATTGTAATTATGATGTACATCATTCGATTAGACTTCTTATGTATTTACTATGAATATATTTTTTACCTACTTCGTGAGACATTTTTTCACTTATTCTCTAGAGAGTTAAAATGAAAGTGACTAGTGAACCCAGTTCACATTTGAATTTCCTTCTAGATTAAAATAATGACCTCATTCAAGATACGATCGAATATTTCCAGTTTTTCAGTTTTTAAATAAACCATTTGCATTAATCTCAGGATTTATTAGAAATATTGATGCATGTTTTCACCAGTCAGACACAGAGACAGTCTTTTCATTATGAAATTGCGGTCATTCGTAGTTTACAATTCTGTCCAATAGTGGCTGTAAATTCAGAACGCATTTTTGACTGAGCAATGAGTAGTTGTTTTAAAACAATACACCCATATGAAGTGTAACAACCTGGAGAACTACACAGTGATGTCGGGTACCCGTTCCCAAGGCATATTAAAACAGTAATAATCAAAAATATTTACATTTTTATTTCGAATGCATTTGTATATATATATATATATATATATATATATATATATTTTGTACAAATAAATGGGAAAAGGAAGTCAAAGTGGAATAGAACAACAACGAAAAGTGTATACGAAGAGAAAGAAGCAAAGCAAAAGACAGCATATTTTAACCGGTGATTCTGCTGTACATCCTAGTAATCCTGAATGATAATGATAATGATGACAATAGTAATCGCTTAAAACAAATTTTTAAAAAAAAATAATAAACAATTAAGCTGGTACAAACAAGGCAAGTTATAGAGTTCAGTTGTGGAAATTATGTTTCTGTTAACTTAACAAAAGAATATCGAAAGAAGACCAAATTTCTTTTTGCACATGACAAAAAAGTAACAGCAGAAAATGTCATGATAAGCAAGATTAAAAAAAAAGGTTTCTTTTAATCAATGAACAATGGAACATCTTGAATGAGTAAATTATGACTGATTGATGATTACATAAATAGGATTTACATTAAAACGATCAATTGCCTCTTTGAATAATTGAAATGTTAAAGAGAAAATGATGAAACGACTAGGTAGGGCGTTTTCTTTTCTAGTTGAGAATAACTCACTAGGCGAAACTGGAGGAAGAAGAATACATCATAATACATCAGAAATGAGACAAAATAAACAGGAATTAGAATGAGAAAGAAACTATTCAGCAGTTTCCGAATATCACAATAAATTTTTGTCGATTGTCAATGCGTTGCCGTTTATTAGATTGTTGATAGCATTAATAGAGTAAATAATAACAAAATTACTAGTTGGAGGAGGAGAAGAATTTGAGACGGCATGATAACTTTCGCAATAATGCTAGTTACAACAGATACTGGCAGTTAAGAGATCAAAATACTGGTATGTACAGGACAGTAAACTTTTATAAAAGAATCACTTATATATATATATATGTAATCGAAAAGAAAAATTATCAGCATCAACATTATTACTGGCATTACTTACAATGTTGTGAACTGAGTGTTAGAAGCAGTAGGAGTATGTATATTGTCATTATTTTGGAGAAAGCTCGATTCTTTTAAATTGTCCGACATGGCGCTCAAAATAAATATCAAAGTGAAAGAAATATGCAACTAACTGCTTTAGTGATTGTCTCAGCTGTCTGATAAATAACATGTACAAAGATGAATTGGGTCACATATCGTATTTTTACTAACACTAAACATATCTTCTTTCGACTGAATACAAGGGGGAACCTGAAAAATATTCACTGTGTGGGATGACTAAAAATTTATGAATTAAAGGAGAGGTTGTCCACAGAGTGATTGAAAATATGCTTCTTCAAGTATGCTGTCTAAGACAGACCATTGGTTGATGGTGTAGCTCTATTTATTTGCGGGGACTGTTGCTGCTGCTGCTGTTGTTGTTGGGATTGTGAAGGTTGTCTACAAGACTGGCTATCCTCTGGATTCATTGGCTGATTATTCACAGGCCAGTTAAATGAGTTTAATTGTTTAGCCATGTTCATTTGGTTTAACAGTGTTTCTAGATTGAAATTGAAAGGCATACTGGGTGGCTGTTCTGAAGAGTTTATATTAGGAAACTGTTTATTGGCTGATAAATTTGTTACAAGAAAAGGTAGCAGATTATTATTAGGATCAAACGCATTTTCTGAAGGATTTTGCTTTGATGGGGTAATGCTGCTATTATTGACACTACTCATCACCGGTGGTAGGACTAAATTGGATGCTGGGGCTGACTGAGTAGCAGTAGTAAGTTGGACAAGCGTTTGTGCTAGAAGTGCCATGGCAGCAAGGTGACCGGCATTCACAGCAGCGGCAGATGCAGTTCCTGGAAGTGGATTATTCATTACTTCATTATCCTTGTTTATCTGAGAAGATGAAAAGGATACGGCACTGTTTGGTGTTCCTAACCAAGATACATTTGATATTGACGATGGGGGTGGTGGTGTGGAAATCCTGTTAGGATGAAGAAATGCATTGTTGGTTGATGTTGATGTAGTAGATGATGACGCTGAGTTTAAATTGAATTCCAATGGATTAGTAACATTTGTAGGCAAATATGAAGCAAAATTATTATAACCAGTCGGATTTTGATGTACGTCAAAGTTCTGAAATCTCTCCTTCAATAAACTTAGAGCAGACGGTGCATTTGTTAAGTCATTTTTTGAAATGGGTCTAAGCGAATTCGAAGTAAAGTTATGCATTGGATCAGTGAAATTTTGGTTGGTATTATCAATGTTTGTATTATTGCCACTGCTGTTATTACTCCGCTTGCATGGTACAGTAGGTAAGTGAGAATTAATTGGAATTGATTTCAATGTCCCAATCGGTTGTGATACTTTTGGGATATTACTACCGCTACTATTATTATTGCTATTAGAACCAAAAGCAGCTGCCAAGGCGGCTACATGACATGACTGTTGAAGCAAACATGGACATTTGTTCTTACTTATATGAAGTCTTACTTGACCTTTGTTTGCAAATGGTTTGCCACAGAAATGACATTTGGCCTTTTTTGTGATTGTTGTCATCAGGTTGTTATTGGGTAGATTGCTAGCATTATTATTATTACTACTGCTACTCATGTTAATGATGTTATTAGGAGTAGTGGTGAATGAACTTAAATTACGATTTGTCATTGAATGGAATGATGGTGGCATGTTTATTAACCGAGTATTCTGTAAAACGTTAGTTGTACTCATAAGTGATGACATCGTAGATGACAAAGATGATGAAGATGATGGTAAAGTCGATGCATACGAATAGTTAGATCTGCTGTAATTCATTGATGATGGATAATTTAAATGCGTTGACTCACTTGGTAAGGAAAGTGACATATTTTGTTGTGAATTAAGTGTACATGGTTCTTGCACAGATGATGACGAGGACTTTGCCTTTGGTGAATGCTGAACAAAATCATTATACTGATGTGTGTCAGATCTGTCAGGAGTATTATTATTGTTGCTCCTATTGTTAGAATTTTGAAAATCATGATAATTACTGGTCAATTTACTGTTGCACTCAGTGTTGCAACTATCCAGTTTCTCCGTATTTTCAACTAGAGAACGGAGCATGTTAAGCCAATTATTAGCAAAATCCGCATTCTGTGCATCATGCACACTGTCAGCTAACGATGTTGTCTGTGGCAGGATGGACTGTGACGACGTTGTTGATGATGTTGTACCAAGCTCAAATGAGTCAAGTGCTTCTTTAAAATTCATAGCGGCATATTTGAAAGCATTTAACGGGTCATTATAATTCGTATTTTTTGCACAACTTGATACTTGTGGGTTTAAATACTGACCTGCTAAATTAGACATTGCAGCAGCATAAATAGCTTGTATCAGGGGATGAGTAGGAATTGTAAGTGAGGAGGCGTTTTGTGGCGTAGATGTTTGTTGTGTGATTGGCAGCTGAGGTGGTGATGTTGACTGTAGAGATAATGGTAATGTACTACTAGTATTTGTTGTATTACCGTGGTCCCTAGTTACATCAACAGCAGTAGACGTACTCGGAAATGTAGAATTATTTGATAAGTGATTTAGTGAAAGTTGAGAAGTATTTGGGTTTCCGTCATCTAATCGATCGCTTTCACTCATGGATGCATTACTTTTAGTCGATTCATTGTTACTGTTGTTATTGTTATTACTGTTAGGGGATGGCAGTTCACCTTTTAAGTTATTTTGGCCATCACGAATGTGAGACGATGATGATGAAGAAGAAGACCTTTCGACATAGGCATATAAAGCCGATAACGCAGGAATTATATGGTCACTTTCTCCCAAAGGAGACAAAGGACTTGCTTGTAGTTTACCAGAAGATGTTGTAGAGTGAACAGAATATGGTGAGTTAGGACATGTATTTATTCCAGACTTATTTGGTGAATATTGTGAATGCACCGTTGATGTTACTGTTAAGCCTCCAGATCTAGGAAATCTGTTACTGTTCGATGTATTACTACTAGATGAATTTAGTCCAGAGTAAATTGTTGAATTACTTGAATTCAATACGTTTGTTGATTTAATCGGCTTATGTGTCGTATCAACTAACTTTTGCAGTGAAGATAAGGGACTTTCAGAGAAACTCATATTCATTTCACTTGTACTAGATACCTTTGATGTATTTGGAGAATTAGAAGTGACTGTCATTGCACGTCTATTTTCTGCTAAGTCAAAATCAGTTTCCTTATGAGTTGACGCACCTTCTGCTACTGTTAGAGGACTAGAAATTGGGGAGTAAGAAGCAGTTTCCATGGATGCGACACTATCTGTGGTTGGGTTTTCATCAGCTACAGTTACAGAAATACCAGCTTCAGAGAAAGTACGTTTACGATTTAATTTTGGTGATAAATTCATCGCTGTTGTTGTGGTTATTGAATTTTTATCCAGCAAATTGTTGACAGATATAGGAGAACTCGACTGAATGATAATTTGATCTGTGAGTTCAGTTGTAATAGATAAATTATTATCGTTGTTATCTGTTGTTTGTGGAAGACTTTTTTCTACAAATGATTCTATCTGCTGTAAAACATTATTTTCTGTTTCTGTATTTTGTTCCGTAGCAACCTCGTGCGAATTATCGACAAGCATTTCAGATTTGTTACACTGATTGTTCAATTCATCATCATTACAAGATGATGGTGGTGGAGTGGAAGCAAGTTTTGTTGATGATGATGAATCAAGATTTTCTTGTGAATTTGTATGTTGTTTATCGTCCATTCCTTCAGTCACTTCTATTTTGGTTTCGACAGATGCTGAAAAATGATCTGAGTTAGGATGACTTTGTTCATTGTCGGAATGTCTGAAACGTTTTGATGCATCTTCTTGTTTTTGTACTTCGTACTTTTCACGCGAAGGTAAATTTGGTTTAATTTGATGTTTAACAGTATCTTCGCATACAGGAAAACGTGCATTAGGTAAAATAGTCTGACTGTTACTCGACCAATTCATATTCATACTTCTATGTGATCTTCTCCCTCCAGAAGCGTTAGTAAGAGATATTCCAGACTTCCCAGCTATATGAGACATACCACTATGATTACCGCTACTAGAGTTTCCAGTAAGATGACTGGAACCACTGCCACCACTGCTACCACCACCTCGTCTATTGTCATCGGGATTAACAAAAACGCATCGACCAGAATCATTATATACTATTTCAGAGTAGTGATTTGTTTTCATCATATGCATTGTTAACTCAGGAAGACTACGAAACGACTGATGGCAGCGCATACAACGAAGTATCTCACGTGTCTGTTCCGTTTCGCTATTAATCCACATATCTTGACCTCTAACAAGTTTAGGTATATCTTTTTCAGCCTGATCGCACTTCGGCTTATGCCCAGTATCTTTCATGTGTAAAGTGAATATGTAAAGACTTTCGAAGTCCTTACCACAGCTGCAAACAAATGCTGTTTCACGGTGACGTGTAGTTTGCTGAGGGGGATTATTACCACTGTTGTTGTTATTACCAACGTGTCCATGGGCAGATGAGTTTATATTTTCTGTGTGAAGCTGTGACTTGGTGGTATTTAATACATGACCACTAGTACTGTTTACCATGTTATTCATTCTGTAGGGCGTATTTCCACGAAAATTTGAACATAAATTACTCCCACTGGTACTGCCAAGAATTGCTCCACTCGTACTACTACTATTGCAAGAGATATTAGTAGTATTGACTGTTGAAACTGCTTGATTTCTTATAGGTGGGAAACGTTGGAAATTTCTCATCTCTAAATTTGTACCGGCTAAAAGACTGTTATTTAGTCCACTCCTTAAGCGGCGTCCAGCGTAACGTGTATTCGTTGACATAGGGCTAAGAGAGCTCCTCTGACGCCTACCAACTGTATTACTGACGCATTCATTTAGTCCACTTGCTTGAAAGCCCTGCTTTCTTTGGTGCTGATAATAAGCACTATACTTTTGGTTACCACGCATTGATATTCCACTAAATGGTCCTGTGTTTGAACTTGAATGGTGTTGAGATGTAGGAGGAAGATGTGAAAAATTCTTCTCCATCCCACATGCTGTCGACACTGATGGTAACAAAGATGAAGACTGACATCCAGGTTGGAGAGGTAGAGAACCTGTGTTTGGGACAGTAGGAGGCTGAAGGTATACAGAATTAGCAGAAGTGTTAAATGATGGTAAAGATAGTGGATTATATTTACTGTCTGTTTTGTTGGTATTCCATAAATCTAGATTAGGCTGATTGCCATCAATACCAGAAGATGTTGCCATAGCCATTAATTGTTGACCAAGTTGGTATAGTAAGTCACGAGGATCAGATAGTTTAGGCTCGTTTAAGCTAGGCATATCTATTATCGGGCATGATGTTGGTGGCATAGAAGGATTGGAAGTCATGGGACTCTGAAGTGATGGACGTGGCAAGGAAACTGAAGGAGGCAAAAAATTTGGTGACACCTGCGGTGGGAATAAAGATGTGTTCCCCAAAAATGGTTGCGAATAGACAGTTGGAGATGGATAGGATCTTGGTGAAGATACTGGACACTTTGAATATTTGGAAGATGGCGGAGGTGTTGATTGTTCAGGAAACGTGTTCTGTTTTTGACTGCTGGCCAACAAGCTCAGCAAAGAAGCTGTCAAAGCCAATGATGGATTAGTTGAATTAAAGTCAATAGAATTAAACATATTGCAATCCATTTGATTTCCCATAAAACTTAGTGGATAAATAGAATTTGGCAGACCTGTTAGTTGTGAACATCGATTATCAGATTTAAACTTATCTGAATTCATCATTTGATTAACTGGAGAGGCAGATGTTGAAACAGAGGCGGTAGTGGATGCAGAAGAGGAGGATGGTGTTGAATAACTGAAACTCTCAGATGTTGGACTTTTGGAAAAATTTGACGCTTGTGATGAATTAAACAAGAATTCACTTAAATTAGACAACATTGCTTGAAAACGTGCTGTGAAGTCTGGAGATGACATATTAGGATTTCTGTTCCATTGTTCATTCATCGGTTTATTGTTGTAGTTATTGTTGTGTTCTAATATTTTAGTTAAATCTATTTCATTAGATAAAGGTGACAAATTTGTATTCCCTTTCATTGTTGTTTGTGACTCGTTATATTGCTTCAACGTTTCAGTCCAGTCAACGTTCACAAGTTTTTCTAATGCAGGCACGAGTGAATTTATGTCTTGTGGCGTTGAATTCATGTCACATTTAGCATTCGAATTAGTGTTCACAGATGCAACTTTGCCATTATTTGTTATATTATTAACAGTTGTAGTTGTATTCGGTGGCGATGAGTCCAGCTTAGGCGAAGTTTGGGTTTTGTCACTTAAAACTTCTATTGAATCCATGTTCTGTATTTTGTTCGGCGAATTAGGTAGATTAGATAAATCCAGTGGAGGAGGCTGAGGTGTACTAACCATAGGATATGCTGACTGTGGTAAATCGGGGGAAACAGTTTGCATATTAGAAGAATTATTCGTACCACAGTTGTTATTATTACTAGTGTTGCTGCTGTTGTTTGTCCTATATCCGGATCCCATTTGATCTGAACTTTCGAGATTAGGTGGTGAGTTAGTTATGGGATTGTTTTCGGTAAGACAAAAATCAATAGTTTTACAGTTTTTAATTTGATTTGTTGACGATGATGTATCCATAATTATAGGCGAAAGAATTTCCACGCATGGCATAATCATATGATAATGTAAAGTATACTAGGCGAATATAAAAATATTAGATGTTATATGTATATCAGTGTGGTTTGGTTGATTTGCATGGAGCAGTTTAATTAAATGTTAATTAGCAGCTTATGACTCCTAAAATGATAACAAGTAAAACAACAAATAAAAAAATGGTTTACTTTGAAAATATTAATAGTACAGAATATTAACAAAACTGCAAAACCCACGAAATCTGAATGGACAGTAGAAACAAAACCTTTTTAACAGTTGAGTTCATTGACCACTTAGTCTACATTAAAAACTTATTGAAAACTTTAATACCTATCATGGTTTGGTCATTTTGCTGTGTTGAATTAATTGGATTTTTACCATCCATATAAACAGATATGTTCATCAATAAAATGTTTACACCTTCAGATTCTTCGCCTTGGCAACAAGTAAAAATGTATCATTGATATAAAAATAGAATTTGAATGCTGTGCTAGAGTATAATTCCATAATAGTGTAAATTTACTTGATGAAAGCACATATCAAGTCACTTACTCAGTTATGATATGATATGACTGTGGACAACAAATTGTGCTCAAAACACCATCAGTAGGTGATCTTGTATCACTGTGTACTTTTATCAAATCAATGTACTCTATGATTAGAAGTAAAAATGTGGAAGTAGCTTTATTATATACTTCGCTCTTAAATTTATGATTCAACCCAAATACAATCTAACCAGCTTTACACAACTCTCTCAATTTATCACCTGTGCAAGACAACAGTTGTAATTCACTAACAGCAGGCAAGTCAATGGCGGTGTAGGTGTAAAATGTTAGATTTGAGTGAGAGTACCAAAATCAATAGAGACAAAATATTAGTTCTTGACTTTAGGATATGGCAATAAGTCGTTCAATATCAATTTATTTATATGGCAGATATCTTCTTAAAATATTTCCTTTTTAGAAGTCGATTTTAAGTGGGGTGTCATTCTTTTCTGTTTCTGTATGTATAGCCTGAATGTACAGAGCAAACAAACTCCATGTACTTTGTTTCGTAGGTTTCCTTCCTGAAAGATAAAGTTAAACAGTGACGACTGTGATGATTATCATTTGTTGGTTGTAAACAGATTTGAGCTAGTAAATGTGTTTCCTGAAAAAATACCGAATTAGAGCAACCATTTGTCTGGGAGTGAATATTTACACTACTGTTTTTGAGCAGGTCGAGTTTTCTGAACATCTTTTAAACAAATACTCACCCAGTAATTTATGAAACTACTCAATTCCCAAGTGAGTCCAACCCTTTCGAAATAATTATCTACACAAAGCCGAGTCTCGGTGATTCAAAACGTCGTACCTTGTTTTCCTGTTCAAGTATGCTGTGATTTACTATGAACAACGCACTATTTGTTTTAGTTCGCTTTCACTTTAGGTCATTGAGATTTCCTACATTTCCATATCAACTGAGTTATATTTACAACAAAACCTCTTCTAATTTTCATTATTTCTTCACTTTTAAATCTGTTGCATTAATACACTTCAACCACGGTGTCAGGATGGTTTCACATTCTATTCTTATACAATACAAATATGGCCATAAGCTTCAAAAAAATTTGTGTCGAGTAAACAAAAACGTCTTCAAATGACACAGAATACACCACAATACTACGTGATCGTCATTCAATAGTGAGTGTGTTCATGTGACAACTAACATGACAAATTATCTTCTGTTCCAATAAACATTATATATATATATATATATATATATATATATCACGAAATTTCAGTGGCATTAAATCAAATCATTTGATAGTATCTGATAGCCCTTAGAGTTTCGTTTTTCGTTTATTTTTTTATCTCATATCTCAGATGAATAAATATTTTTAAAACAAATTGAAGGATAATTTTAATTATTACCTATTACTATTTTTTCGTATACAAACCATTCATTATTATTCATTATTCATTACATAATGAATTATTGATTGACCTAATGAATCTTTTATGTGCATCAAAGTTAACTGGGTAGATGTGCGAATAGGCACATATGAAAACTGAGATACGATAATAATTCATCTCTGTGTTATCAGGTTTCAGGCTTCCCCCAAACCATATTTATAGTGAATGAAACTGAGTGCGATAGAGAGAGAGAGAGAGAGTCCGCCATCCCCTTCACCACTGTTTTGAAGTTAGCACCACTGGTAAGAATATTTTCTATTTTTTTGTAATTAAGAAAAGACCGGTTTTAAGATGACTTAATACTACATAATATCCTCCCATTATTACAGATTAATTCTAATAGCAAATGTCCTACTAAAAAAGAGCAGTACAGACGGCTTCATGTTGTGAAAGAGGTGTGAAAAATGTTAGTGGTTTGAAGTAGAGAAAGGAAGTTCAGTCTTTAGCACAACTGTAACTTTTTGGATTAATTATCCTCTTACTTGCGATCATCCCAAAGTAAAGAGGAAGACCTGGAAGATGAGTTTAAAAGGGTATTTTTCAAAAACTCTTTCAAAATCTCTTGAAAATTCATGTAATCTAAACAATAAGCCAAAATATTCTTCTAAAGCCAGTCAAACAGAATTATATTTAAGTTACTTTAGTTTATCATTAGTGTATTTCTGCTCCTAGTCGCTTACTGCCTACCACAGACAAATTTATCTATAGAAAACACAACTGTTATTGCCACATGTTTGTTTTCGCAAGGTTGACTTGATTGAGTAACAAGCATATCAAATGTCATTGATACTGCTAGGATAAATATTCACACATTTTATTACCTGCTTTTGTCAAGATGTTTTTATTTTTATTTTGTCTTACACTGTTACATAACCATTCCCATTCTGAACAGTTATCAATATAGTTAAACCTGTTAGATATACAACTGAAGTACGCTGAGGCCTAAATTATAGAGACAGGGCTTCGACATAATAAATTACAGTTAACACTAGTACCGTAATGAATACGAGGTGCATTAGCCACCCAGTTGAATAATAAACTACCTCAACATAAGTACAAACGAAGTAAAAAACTGAAATTCATTCTATTAAGACAGTATACATCCTTCTGAATGGTATTATGTTAGAAAATTAGAACAAATTGCTAAAAACGACCTTATCATCAATTACCAGAACTCATATATATATATATATATATATATGCGTCGGTGGTTCAGTTTCCAACCGACGAACTCCCAAACCTCAACTACTAAGTAGCATGTGCAGAAAAGAGAGAAGGTATAGCAACTCCGTCCCACATAAACAACACAAGTACTACTAAAACCTCAAAACTGGAAACCTGAAGCCCTACGTTGCACTTGGTATATATATATATATATATATATATATATATATATATATTCATAATACTCTAGAGGTTAGAAGAAAGCCACCATAATTTCTTTATTCATAATTTCACTGTGGAATCATTTAAACCAATCATGATAGGTGTGTTTTAGATCTCACTTCATCAACACAACAGTTTTTTCTATTTACTTCTACTCCAGAATATGCTTTTGTGAATTGGGAAGTTTGAAAGCTAATTGATATTATACTGAAAAGTGACCGACATTACCCCTTTAAACTCCAATGGAACTGAAGAATACAAAGTGAAAAATTCGTGAACTTCCACTCTTTCATTAATAAAGTACATCTATTTTTTCGTAAAGAATCACCTTAGCTTTGTTAGCTGTAAAGCAATTACACATGACTGCTATCGTTTTAACAGAATTTATTGATATAAGTATAAAACTTGGGCATCGCCGTAGAGTATAACTCCACTATTGAGTGATAGAATTTATGCTTAAAGACTAATATTCATTCTGTGGCGCTTTAAAATGTACCTTAACAATGAACATTTTTACAAACCAGTCTGGTAATTTAAGTGGTAAATAACTGTCACCTGTATTAGAAACAGCTGTCTAACGGTTAACTTGTATCTATCATCAAAAAATCAATGATGATCATAATAATTATGAGATCTCACCAAGAGATTCAGTGATGTAGTTTCTTTAATTTTCAGGTAGCAGTAGATCAGTAGAATAACTTCACTTTACAGACTGCATCCACTTAACTCATACCGAAGACGTAATTCCAACTTATTAAATTGGCTGTTATCTAATAAAATGAAAATCATTCATATAGCCAGTCAGTATATGCAGAATAACTAACGGCCTTCAGTTTAATTTGAAATAAAGTGGGGAAATGAAAGTCACTTAGAAAGCGGATATCTGAGTGATTGAGCAACCTACAGGTCAATTAAAGTTTAACTAATCTTCTTCCTAAGTGGACTCCTTTATCTTTATCTCATAGATATAAACAGAAATGACAACCGAGGGTGACAAGTAGTATTGGTTAAACTATTGACTATTAAGAAAATACTTCCACTACTTTTCTATTTAATATATTTAGAAGATGCAGTTGTCTAATACCATATTTCTCTTAACATTGTTGCCGATTCTCGGGGTTAATTATATCAATATTCTTTCATCTTCAAATTTGAACAAAAATAAAAAATTGGGCTTAAAAAAAAGGCGAAATATGTCTGACACTACAGGAATCCCACAGTGAACAACTTCACTTTTCGTGTAAGTGCAGTTGTTATTTCACCACACTACCACTACTTCTGTAAACAAATTAATCTCAGATATTCACATGATAGGATTGTAGATATTTAATTAATTTTAATGTAGATTTTATCATGAATCGGCATCAGGTAAAAGCAAACTGACAAAAGTTAGAGTTTACAGGTCATCGAACCTCAATCTAGTAACCCAGTGGTACACATACACACCTCCCAAGTGGAAGGCTTTTAGTTCGATTCTGGGTTGCTGAGCATCGCTGGTGTAACAGCTGTGTTTTCCAGAGATCTAAAGCATATATTCTCTTAGTAAAATCAACTAGTTTATATTGAATTTATTTCTAAAGATATAAATGAAACTGAGAATAATGAAAATGACTGAAGAAGACAAAAAAAATCACAAAATTGATTAAATATTACTGAATCCAGTAGAATCTTGTGTACAAATATAGACAGCTAAAACGTGCACACAAACACACACACGCACAAGTGAACATAAACTTGTTTACGCACATTTGAAATCCTATCAATCAGTGTCATTCGGATCATTGGTTATGTGATCATGTACAGATAGGTGTATAGTTTGCTAATATACGCACATCTTTCGAGTAGGTACACATACACATTGTCAGTAAATGCCATCAGACTGGCAGCATACACGCATATACACACAAACTTTTTCTACCGCCTTATGAATATATATATATGTCAAAAACCAGAAAGCTTAACAATTCCCAACTTTGACTGACCAAATTTTTATAAAGCAGAGGAAAACAAAACTTTATATTTATATATATATATATATATATATATATATATATGATTGACACCATTCACATTGGAATTAGCCTATATATCCGGCGGCATATATAAATAATATGCTAAGAAAAATCACATCATAATAGGGAGAAAATAAACACAGTAGAAATGGAGAACAGAAGAAAAGCAAACAATTTCCTTCTCTTCATGTATGGGGAGACTATAGTTATGCTTATGATCAATCTTCCCACGTGTCTGAAGACATACACACAAATATGCTAAATACCTCAGTTTGTAATACCACTGGTAGTCATCACAACTGACAGAATAATATTACTGAGTAACATGACTGTGAGAGAACAGCAACTATTAGTATCTGCATTATCGCGTGTGGACTCATGAGTGTGTGTGTGTGTATTTCCTGCCACTATGTGTATGTTTGTCTACATTTGTGAATGTGTGAGGAAGCTATGAGAAGCATAATTACTTCACTAAACTAAAAACCTATGTCGTTATTAGGACAAGGGCGTTGGATATAAAAAGTTTAGACCAACTATTTGACAATATATATATATATATATATACGCCAGATTAATATTTGTGGCAGTAATAGTAGTGGTGGTATTGGCGATTATATTGATGGCTATGGAGGCGGTATTCATACATTATCTTAGAGAGAGACGAATGAAACAGTAAAAAGCGGCAGTTGGGCAGTTAAACGCATGATAGATGGCCATATCGTGACAAGCGGATAGAAATATATACAAAGATTATTAAAGTAACTAACTACTGAATGACCGAATGACTGACTGAGTGAATGAATGAATGAACATGCCAAATAAGTTCAATGATAAATATATAACAAAGCGGCATCAAAATCAATTAAATTGACGGCGAATAAAAACTTTAGGTTTTTGATTAACAAATTTATATGTAGGCGCGGACACACATACACATGCATACACACTCAACATATACGTATGTGTTTATCTGTATAATGAAAATAGATGGGATAAACAGGTGAATGAATGACAAGTTGATGAATTCACTACATACATCTAGAGATAATCAATAGTTCACCAAAAGTCATCAGTTGACTTTAGTTTCGTAAAACATTTAAAAAAAAATATATATATATATATCCTCAGATCTATGTTGGTTTAATTATTCGCCCTTGCCGTGACAACTGGACTACTTATCTGAAGCTTACTAAAATTCAAAGTAATTTTGATCATATCCAAGTCAGTGGTGATGATTGGTTCCACATAGCACTTATATACCCAACTAATAGGATCAATTCACTTCTCTCCTTAGACTAACAAATAGAATAAGTACTGTGGAAACGTTAGTATGACTGAATTAATTAAAAGATTATCAGAAGAACTGACTCTACATATCATTCTGTCCTCTGGAAATTGGTTTAATAAAGTTAATTAGTCAATCATATGGATGCCGTATTATTCATATAGTTCCATATTCTAACACCAGTGTTTATCCTATGATGTCGGCTGCTCATTGACCCAATGTGTTCAAGATTTGAAAGCCTCTAGAGGAATACCTAAATCCAATAAAAAGACATTGACAATTCCATTTGGACGTGAAACAAAATCTGAATTAAAACAAGATTTCAACCAGTAATTCAATTTATTCTTCAACCCACTGACTTGAGAGTTTCAAACTTAGAATATCTGAGGTTATCTACTTATCTGGGTAAGTATTTGATGTCGTTAAGTCAAATGAATTTAAGTAATAAAACAAGTGTCCTACGTCTATAGATCGTTGAAACAGCAGTTTTCTGGCTTACAGTGATTTGTCATTTCCGCCTTTTTTCAGTTAATGAAAACAGTTGATTGGGTGCGTACTGCCGAAGAGTCCCAAACTAGGACGAAACAGCTGTCCAGTACTCACAGGTTTTCCAGTGGTTCTCTAAATGATGTCAGCTCATGGTGAAATCCTCCATGCAATCAAACAAAATCCCTACACAAAACCAATACTTGGTTTAAATTCATTGGAAAACTGTCTTAATTCCTGTCTGATTTAATCTACAGATCACAAAGGGGAATTCTGCACTAATTATACTTCAGGTGAGAAAGTGGTTCACACTTCCCATAATGTTGCAATATTTTTTGTTCCACATAATGTAATCTTTTCACCATCATTGCGGCTGACAAAATCATGTTAACCATGGTTTTCCATTTTTCTTCTGAAAAGACAGATTACAGGTTATAAGAAATGAACAGTGGTCTGTATCACTGGAAGAATCCGGGTACTTGTTTCTTCCAAATACTTGAAGCACTTAAATGCACACTGGGGCATCTAAAAAATACTTTGTCGGAGATGAGAATCTCACCAACAACTGAAATTCTCGTGTGTAAAAATTACAAGCTCTATGATCTCTAACCAACTAAGTACTACTATCGCTTTTGTCTCAATTCGTGTAGAAAGTGAACAAAGCAAATATTTACTTATTCCCTTACTTATTTGCATAATTCCCTAAATAGCTAACTAACAATCAAAACATTCCAGCACCTAGGCCAATTATAATCAAACCTGGATATGTATAAGTTTACGGATAACGGTGAATATAATTTATCATCCGAAAGCGGTCTTGTGTAATAATTCAAAACTGAAATTGTTAAACAATCTAATTATAATTCTTTCAAGCATTTATTATATGAACAAATATGAACATACATCTATATACATACGTGTACCTGAGTGTATATATGTGTGTGCATGTACCCGTATCTCCGTCTGTACATAGGCATTATCGGTTTATCATATTGCCGCTTGTTCTGACTAATTATATGTATGCTTGATAACTTGTCATTTCCTTTTTGTTTCTCCTGTTGACAGATTGCACACATGTCATTCAGTCACTTAAATTTATGATGAACAACTTCTGTGTGTCAGACAGAGAGAAGACGGTGGAGAATATACGTTAATGTCTACATATCAACACATGTGCACAGACCAAATTCAATATAGTAAATCTGAGAAATGTAAAAATGAAACGAGTAAAAATGAATTAATATTATAATATTAACAAATATTTATATGAATGATGACAAAAGTAATAATACTAATATCAATAAAAATGCTACTAATAATCATTAAAGGTATCCTAATTTTAAACATTTTACATTCCAAGCCAAAGAATACACCATTGACGTTACTCAGGTTGTATATAACAAATATTTATCTATTGACTACGTGTTAATAACCATTAAATAAGCAGGAAAGCAAGTGGATGTAATATGGCAATGATAATAATGATTGTGTAGACAAGATACAAGCAGATTTTTTTTTTAAAAACAAGTCAATGAACGCAATCGTGAATCAGTATGTTTGTGTACTTGCTTCAGTCTCTGGAGTGATTGCGTAAAGTTGGAATCTAAACACTTTTCATGTTCCCCCTAGTCCTGGATGATAATTTATTTAACTGACAGTTTGATTTGTATAAATAACTTAAACATAAATCTGACGTGTAAAAACAAGTGAGAGGGATCGTCAAACAGTAGTTTAAAGCCGTTGGCTAAAGGCTAACTATGTAGTTTCAGAGCAGTTCATAGTCAATCTTATTGGTAATTATTTCTCTAGTTACTTTCTCCACTAAATACGAACTACAGAAGAACCTATTCGTAAATTTGAAACAGTAGGAAATAGTACTAACAGTACTAAGAAAGAGACAATCCTGTTAGAGAAGATACGGGTTGTTAACATTTTCGCTTGTATATAGTGTTATTTAGATCCAATTAAGCAGCAGAGAAGAAGCTAAACAGAAAATATAATATAATAAAATCATTCAGCATATTAAGGGACAAAAAGGAGAACTTATTTTTGCTTTTCAAGAGGTTGACCACGGATTGGTATCAGTTAGATAACCATTGGAAACTGGGAATACTGGACAATCCTAGTTTGGGACACACTGGTTATAAAGTAAGCTCATAAACTATTCAACTACTGGGCCCCAACTTAGTGGTCCATGAATTCTAACCATTATTGTTCTTGTTATTGCTATATACTACCAGTCGATAAAAATTGTGTCCTACCATAAAAATAGTTATACGCAAGAAAATTTTAAAATATGTATATTTGTGTGGGTCAAAAAAACTTCATCAATCATTATTCTTCTAAATCACACCTTGAAGTATCCATAAACTTAGACGAGTGCTGAGGTATGTCTGTGTCTAAATGCATGTTGATCTGTGCTAATTTGTTGATTAGTGACTGATTTATCAATAAACTTTTATTCTTCTACTTAGCACATATTTATTTATTTATCAAAAAGCGTCTAGTGTACATTTTAATTGCACGCTGAACGTGCTCTATGTATCGATCATTCTCCGCTATGTAATTATGATGGATTATGTAGTAATCAACCAGTAGAAGATTAAAAAATATTCTGCTTCGAAATTATGAGTATTTCACATACTCCTGAAATTGAATAAGTCGTTAATTGAAATGTTGAACTACAGTGATGTTGGTGTAAGCCTATACATACCAGATGAAATCCACTTGTTCAGTTCGGAATTTAAACAGTGGAAAACCGACACAGAATATAACGCCAACAAAAAGTTATCTAAAAGCTCACGAAAAGTAACGTCATTATTCTCCTGGACAAAAATTTAAACAGGAATGACACGATTTATATTTCTGATGCCACTATATCGCCATTGTTAACGTTACTTTCTTAAAAATACCTGGATACCTTGAAAATATAGTGTCTAGACTGAATGAAGATTCCATTTCACTGTTGCCTACTTCAAGTAAGCACACTTGATCAGGAAATTAGTTTCGTGACTTTTACAAAGAATCTGAGGTTGGTGGTTCGAATCCTATTGCGATGCGACCTTCCCCTGGTTCTCCTCTATATCGAATCCGAGTAGACATATACCCATTACAAAATCCCTGTGGGTTACCGTTCTTTGGCGTATGAAAACGATAACATTAAACCTATTAGTAAACCCCACATCTATCTTTAAGATAATTCAAATAAGGAAACTGAAATGTTATTCAATTGTTTAGGTTTAATGCATTGTGTGCTATTCTTTAGTTAGGAGATTTACCAATGAAATCCAGTTAAATCCACATACAAATATAACCCTGGTGTCTGGTTAAGAAAAAAATTATTTGTTTTGTAAGCAAAGAGTGAAAAGCCAAACTGTAAATTCTATTTTGTTAAATAAACAAGTGAATACGTTGGTATTTACAACACGCTCTATGTTACCTATAATTTCCTTTAAAAAAGACTTTCTTCTGAGATCTTCTCTGATCACCTTCTCAAGATCAGCACTAAACTGCCCACAGTATGATGTTGAGTCACACAGTCACGTGGCATATTTTAAAATCTCAGAAACGCAGCTGATATGGTACAGTATATATAACGCTTTAATACAGGTGGAACTGCTTCTGCTAAGAATATCGAGTCTTTTATTTTATTTTACAACCAGTCTAGAAATGGAAGACGTATTTCTTGCAACAATGTGGCTTCTAATTTTATGCGCGTTTCATGAACATTCATTAACAGTGAGAACACACTTGATACTCGTACATCGCAATAATAAAATGATTCATTTTAGTGAACCAATACGAAACGTTATTCTTTGATTATCAATTAAATAACATTGATTTACCTGCTTTTTATTTAAAGAAACACATTCATCGAAAATACTGTAGCTCATTGCGTGCTTTGAACCACGATGAATTCATTCACAAAATACTATCTGAAAATGCATGATTGATGATAGTTACAGTGTGAAGGGCGTGGGTGTACACCTTTCTCTATGCACGCACCATTACATTTGAATTACCCAATAAGCATTGAGCTATCTGTCAAATGACCTTCACTATATTCGACATCCACACTAAACAAAATACAACATTTCTCACTGACAGGTTCAATGGCCTAATAATTTCCGTTTAATTTATATCGAACCAAAACTAAGAACGGCGCCAAATAAGAATAGATAAATCATACAATTAGAAGTTAGCCTCATTAAACAAAAAAGGAAACATAAAAACGACAGAAAAGAAAGTCGAATGATGAATGACTAATAAAACATATGCAAAATAAAAGAATAAATTAGTCTTAGTAACATTTATGTTTCATTCCAGGAAGAACAAAGTTAAGGTGATTGGTTTTTTCTAACAGTTAAGCTCAATTTTACTTTCAAAAGTGAGTCATTATTTTCTTGGGCTGGAAGTGTGTATTGTCGCTATAATATTCAAAGCAGTCCAAAAACTGTCAATATCGTCAGTTTACCGACTTAAATGTCAACAATACTCATTTACTGATACATATATTCTTAAGGCTGGATAAAAATAATCTTTTGTACGTTAGAATTGGTTGTCAATATGAACTAGAGTATTGATTATTTGGCTCACATTGTAACAAACAGATTAGCAGTATTTCTTAATGCAAGCAAATAACGAGTATTGTTCTTAATAAAGCAAACAGTTTGTCATCAGAAGATGGACAATAATTTTTATGAAAGAAAAAAAAGAATATGGATACTTAGTCATATTTAAGGTATGCACTTCATTTAGAATGTTGATATTCGCCAAAGGTGGGCATACTAAGGAAGTAAATAAGTAGACTGCACCGAATCAAACCAACTTTTGTCTTCCGATAGGGTGAATCTCTGTAAGAAGTAATAATATTTTTACATCATCAGCATTCCGAAACCTAGCTACTCATTCTACTGGATTGGGAGCAAATGTGACTATAACTGTTCTTGTGCACGACTATAATGTCTGATGTCATATAATCAGACTAACAGAATGAACAATGGTTTTTTATTTTAAAAATTTTTATTTTTATTCCTTTGTGTTCTCAGTGTAACATAGGGCTCCAAGCTAAAGCTCTGAAGTTTCGGTAGTAGTGGTATTATTTTTACGGGATGAGATTGCTATCCTCATGCCCAAACTTCCCTCTTTACTAGTCTTACTACTGGCTTAGTGAGGTAAAGAAGGGCGTCGGCCGGGGGTCGAACCCCGAATCACCTGCGTAGTTGGCAAGAATTCTACCGCTGTGCCACTGACGCAGATGGAAGTATTACAGTTTCACTGACTCCACCATCTCACCACTACCCCGACCACTCTGCATATGTATTATCTAAAAGTTATAAAATGTCTTTTTGATTGTTGTAGCAGTTGGTAAAAGGAATCTCTTTGCATATTAAACAGCTGATAGTTATTTAACTAAATCTACCCCCTTTAAATAGATTAACTAACATGTAACAATCATTAGTCTTTGAAGAGCCAGTATATCTGAGATTGTACTCCGAAAACAAGTTTACTTGAGTACCACATCTACATCATAATTTTTATGATGAAAATTAACCTTCCTTATCCTTTCATCATGCATACATCACCAATTGAGGAAAAACCAAATGAAAAAAAAACAATCCAAGCTTAAGTAACCATTGTAAAACTTAATGTTCGAACGTAAAATAATAACTACTTTTTGTCATTTATGAGCACAACTTAGGAAAAAGGTGACCAATAACAACATCACAAACAGAAGATACCATTTGCATGAATTTGCTCACTAACAAATCCTCAAGCATGCACACACGCAGACACAATGATGTACGTACTCACACATACATAGTGAATACTATTAGTACTGCATTTATCCTTCTCTTTATTTCTTTTAAAATGACAAGAACATAGAGAGGGAGAGGACAAGACAGAAAGTATACTATACCCTGTCATATTAATAATAAAAATATTCATAGAAGTTAAGTGAAAAGAAATCTCTGTATGACGAATTAAACAAACAAATAAACAAACGAAATAAATCATGGAATGCCGCCATTCGTGAATTTCAGATAATCAAATGTGTATTAGAAGCAGAGAAAAGGACTCCTTTGGTATTGGCAAAGGATTGACATTCTCATTTTTGCCTTTTATATACGCGTATGCGTGACTTAGACGTTGTATAGATGTTAATTGCGAAGTAGTTTCATTTTCATTTTGCTGTGGAAATCATAATAATTGTATTATGGTGATAAACATTATTTCTGGGATGTAAGAGGAGAGAGAGAATGTGAGAATAATAAAAAAATTTCTCCCATATCCAATTTGTCTATTTAGTTATCAAGTGTATAGTCAAAACTCTTCCTGTTAGTGTAACACACCAAATGCCACATGATAAGATAATTAGTGTCCAGCTGATTGATTTATTGGTAGCCATCTGCATCTACCCAATCAAGCGCGTTTCATTTGGCATGTACATTGGCAGCTTAAATAGACATGTCAATCAGATTTACATATCTAACAGTTTTCAACAGAGTAAATATATACACAATTGTTAATACATGTCTACAGATTTGCCTGACGGAACTTAGATCTTCGAATAAATGTGTACATTTCTTCTTAAAAGTGTTTCGTTTGAATTTACTCACTGATGAACATCTTGACTAGTCTTAAGGAATATACATAGCAGCAGAGTGAATCAAACAAAATACTTCGCAGAGTTTATTAACTGACTAGTTCCTGTTTCCGCATAGTGTAGCAGGGAATAGTTATTCATGCACTTCAAAAATGTTTCAGATAATTATGTAATTTGTGACTAAAAATCCTCCACAATATTTCATTTGACAATATACTAATAGGCCCTCTAATTTGCTATTGTACATAGAGAAGTCTGACTCCTGTGAAAGACTTACTCGTTAGCTATTTAAAAATAATGTGGTCTGTTGATATAAGTATAAAACTTGGACACTGTGGTAGAGTATAACTCCATTATGGATAAGATTTTATTTTGATAAATCACACAGTGTTGTACAGTAATATTAACTGATAACGTTTCGAGCACAAACTATTGCTCATAATCATAATCAACTTGATATAATTATGAGCAATAGTTTGTGCTCGAAACGTCATCAGTTAATATTACTGTACAACACTGTGTGATTTATCAAGATAAAATCCTATCCATAATGTGGTTTGTGGAGTTTAAGTCAGCACTGGACAACACAACTTGTGTCTTATCCATTTTGGTAGGTAGTTCTCAACCTAATGAGTACTGCTTTCAATACTTTATTCCTCTAGGGACTTTAAAAGTCAAAGGTTCATCATATGTATGGTCTTGCAGAAGGATATTGATTGTGTATGCCCTTTAAGACCCACGTACCAAAGTTAGTAACATACTCTCTTTTAATTAGGATGCATTTATGAGTGAGGGTTGAAATGGATATTCAGAGAGTATGTTCTTAAACCGATTGATTATTGGACAAATTTTTCCTGATAAACTTACAATCCTAGTAAATATCTTATGTTTAATTTATTTGTGATGTGACATGACTATTTCGCACCATCAAGTGGATTGTTAATTGTAAAATTTGTCTCAGTGACCAGACATTAACGTAGTAATTGTAAAGTAAAAAGCTTAGTTAGTACTGATTCGGTGAATATCGCAAAAGTTTTCAGTTTGGTGGAAAAGTAAATTATTATAGTTTGCTAACAGATGTCATTTGGCATTGTGAAGATGATCTTACTGCAACTTCTTAGAGGAATTAAGGCCTATAATAATGTGACCGTGATAAGCATCCCAAAAGGTATAACGCTTGCATGGTATCAATTGAGATGAGAAGTCTCAGGTAATGAAGTTATAATGAAGGAGTAAATTTAGGCCTGTGCTCAGACATTCCATAACAGAATCAGTAACTGATATGCACTTTTATTGATTAGAAGTTATTTATGAGGTGGCAGGCCCACTTCTAAAGCCAGTATTTTACCAGTCGAAATGTTAATAATTGTCATTACTAATTCAGTAATTATCACGGCAATTCAACTAGCAATGGTCAATATGATTTTGAGGATAATCTAAGAACCTACTGAGTAAACTTCCCAATATTTTCTTCTTGCAAATGAGTTTAACGAGGAATTATAGTTCCCAAATACATGTATAAGATCATTGTGTAAATGTCACAATAGGTGATTGTGGGAGCAAGCTAGTCATTTGAGTTGATTTTCAAATCTATGAACTCAGTCAAGAGTACACTGTCGCTTAAAATCTTTATACAGGACAGGAGCTGGAATTGTGTTAAGGAGTCAGTCACTAAGGTGTACGTTAAATATTCTTTTATAAGCTAAAGAGTGCTAATCTAAGCACTGAATTGCAGCACGCACCACCCAACCATTTCATTAAAGTTATCTATTAACTGCCTAGAATGTTCTTTATTATTCACAAACGAAATTGATTTATGAAACCGATTTAACTTCAAAATGTCTTAAAACTTATTTTAACAATAAGAAAAATGAGAACAGTGACCCTAACAATAGTAATGATAATAGCTGATATTAACTTTTTCTTAGAGTGATTATATTACGTGAAAGTTTTGTCTGGCTACCACCATGACAACTAAACTACGAATTACTTTAGTATTTACCGGTTAGAAGTCACGCAAAAGTAACAAACAATGAGCAGTAGGCAGGGGAGGGGAGAATAATTCATTTATTTACTTAACCTTACTTTCAATTTCTAGGATCATCTTCAACACAAAACGTGTGTGCACTTACCGACAAACGTTTTCGATCATTACTAAGATGTCAATAACGACTAGTGTGTTCTTTGGTTGCCTGAATACTAAAAAAACTGTCTTGGGGTCCATTCTTTAGAAAAAAAAGACTGATTGCTAATTGAGTAATGAAAATAACAAAGCTAACAAATGATAGATGATAATAATTATAGTTATTATGGTGTCTATTAACATACACCCAGACGCTTAAGTAAAAGAATGAAATATTCTCTGATATACAATGAACCAAAAGAGTGTGGTGACTGGCAGACCTGACCAGTGAAAAGTAAGTTTAACCCGGAAACTGAATGTAAATAGACGTATTCTTCTGATCAGTATAATGTGGCATACCTTTTGAGAAATTCAAGTAGCAGACAAACCTTAACATACTTTGGTCTCAGCGGTGAAGTGCACTAAACTAAAACTAAAAATTATGGTAGAAAAAATATCAAGGCAAGATACATACGGCATTGCGAACTAGACATCAAACAAATCTTCACCATTGTAATTTATTTCTCCTATGTAATTGAATTCAAAAACAGACAAAGATCACCAACTTTTCGTTAGAAGTATTGCCAGAATATGATAAGTTTATCAGCTAAGCAGAGATGTACAGCTCTGTAAAGCCATTCCTAGTACAGTGAGACAGAATAAAGTAACATTATCAGTACTGAATAAAGCAAATTGAGATTGTCAGATAAAAAATAGACTATCACAATGATTTTTTAAAGCATACTGAGATTTCAAATTACTTGATAAGTGTTCATACAGCGGTAAAAATCAACTTTTTATAATGTTATGTGAAATGGTTAGAAGTTACACTAAGGGTTTATTACTCTTTAATTCTTTGGATGTACTATGGAACTACGTATCCACTTTGAGTTCACACCTCACTTTCTGATTTTAATTTACTGGTTATTTCTAGGTATCCAGTAAATTAAACAGGCATGACAATGTTCAAGATTCAAACAGAGAAAACGAAATATTACCGTTAAAATTTACGAGACTGAAGATACACTATATATACTTAACCTATTGTCTCTTCATCTGAAAGTCTCCTAACACAATGGACTATAGTTACACTGGTGTAGGAACTTCACTGGAATTTTTATCGGATGTGTTGAACACTTCAATTCGAATCTGGACTGTGCCGAA